CCCTCCCGAAACACGTACACACACACACACCAAAAAAAAAATCCCCAGAAACACGCACACACTGTGTCAGTCACATCAGGCAATCCAAGCAGCTGAAATCAAGCAGTAGTGAACAGAACAAAGTCCCATCCTGAATACAAAACTTTGATATAATGTCATTTCTGTCCCTCTCGGTACGTTAACCCTTGAGAACACAGCAGACAACATGTTCGACTGCTCGGGCTGCAGCAATAATAATGGTACAAAGGACAAAGCAGTAAAGGAATATTTTTTCCAAAGAGCAGGAAATAAATTGAAAAAGCGAAAAATTTGAAAGGCAATTGAAGAAATAAATCCGAGTATAAAAACTAGGTTAAGAAATATGATATATCAATAGAAATATAAATAAACATATTGCTAAAAATCTGCATCTGCGTTTCATCATTCGATAAAAAACACACGGCCAACCTTCAGTAAGAGATATCCAAGGAAGCTATTTATATAATGAACAAATGAGCTCCACACAATATGATGACTCTATGTGGGTAACTGATATGTCACCTTCAACAGCTGTAACTGTAAAACTCGCACTCAAAAGAACACATGCTCAATCAAACACAACTCAAAATAAAACAAACATACTTTGTGCAATACGATCGTACAGTAAAGATTTCCATTTGTACGCCTATAACATAACAACTCTTTTCTTGAGGTATGTTTTGACAGCCAGGAGACGGAAATTGACACCACATGAAATGCAGACACGGCGCCTGAAAAATAGCATCCTGAGAGTTAATAATGAGTAGGAGAAAGCAGAAAGGACGTTTCCATCACTTCCTCTTTGCCCCGAGTTGTTCTGGGTAGCTGTTCTAAATATAGACACGATTCACAAGAAAAGCACACGCACCAATCATCACACAGACAGTGCTATCTGGAGATACAACATTTCTTTTCTTTTTTTTTTCCCTAAGTAGGTACTTTTTTACGCTCCCATCAACCCAATTTAGACCACAACGAACTCATCCTGCGGAAGGTGGTAAAAGCCAAACACAGACAACTGAAACATTCGCAATAAAATAACAACCACCCAGTTCATCACAGAAACTCGGCAAACACTAGAAGATATCTAACGGCACAGAGCTACCAACTCTACCGACCACAAAAGTGTAAGATCTTACCTAAAAATGTGCAAGATTGTAAAAAAAAAGAGTACAATATAACAAATATCACTATTTCGTCGCACACGCAATTAAAACTCTCGTAAAAATTAAAAGAACAGACCACCACGCAACACTAACACGAACTTGGCGGAAGTTGGCCTAAACAAAACGAAATTACGAGAAAATCAATCAAGGGAAGTCACTGTGTGATGGTGTTTGTGTTATCGTCCAATAGTACATTTGCTGTCGTAGGGGCCTATTAATAATAGATTGGACCGCTGGCGGCCACGAATCGGAACAGCAAGCGGAGCGAGATTTTGTTTCGACGATCTATCGGATCAAGCAAAAAGTTGTACAATTTGGCAAAGTGGTGTAAAATCTTACGATCGCTGAAAAAGCTTACAAATACGCTTTTTTGGTGTAAGGTTGGCAGCTCTGACGGCAACACACACACAGTTCAAATAGATATATACATGTTAAAAATGTTCATTCACCAATCAAGATAAATGCATTATGAGTGAGCAAATTGGAACACGATTCCATCAATGATTTCATTTTTAAGTTGTCGACAACGTAAGTGGAGATATTTACGGAGACAACAATTACAGAGCATTTCCTCTCGTCACCAATTAGAAACAGGCGTAGCTCTCATCATACCCCTGCATTAACGCTCAGTAAACCACAAGTATCTCAACGTGATGTCTTTCCGAAACTCTTCATAATATGGCCGCCACATATAAGGAGACAAAAGTCCCATTTTAGCCTGCACAATCTCCAGCCACAGACGAGATAGTCCATGAAACAATCTCTGCAACTTCAAACAATTTTATTATCGATCGCTGGTCTGTAGTTCCGATGTACTAAACCCAACATTTTGAAAACAATTCAAATTGCAGTTTCTTATTCTACGGAACAGCTTGCAAGCGCTCAAGACATATTTTTCTCCAAATTCAAATTATTGAAAAAGGCAAGACAAAAATACTCAACATACACAAAAATTGTAATGATACGTTTGTGAAAAATTTTGGTTTCTGGGCTATGAACATTTGAACAGCTTGTCTCTCTACACCATAATGGCAAGGGAAGTTCCAAGACTCAAGCCACTTACAACAAGGGGGAAAAGACTTTTTGGGTCCCACTCCTGTCCTCTCTCTCTCTATCACACAGACATAAAATTTAAACTCAAACACACACACGCAATTCAACTACTGAACTCACAGAAAAATACCCTTGCCAGCTCACACAGAGAGTGACTTCACATTTCTAACTGTCCCCATTTTCTACATTTAAATTTCCAGTGTTGCACATACGTAATGAACACGCTAAAAGATCCATCATGCGCACAGCGAACAGATTTTTAGGTCCTCAATTTTTTTCTCATACATTATAATATTCTTGTAGTTAAATTATGTACATAGCAAAATTTTAGTGCACAATGAAAAGATTTCTGTATCCCTCTGACTGTATAGCCTTCCACACTCTGAACTCGATGACGTCGCAGACAAAAAACTTGCCAGCATTCACTCTTTGTTGCACTATTTTGACTCTATAGCGTGTTTAACTAGAATGCCGAAGCGTGGGCAGCATTATTAATGTGCGCGGCGCACCACCATTAATGTGCGCGGCGCGCCACCTTCACCAATCCAGACTGCCGCATGCAGTGTAACCTGCCGACTGGTCAGTCTGCTATACAAAATGCCACCGACAAGCCCAGGATCTATCCTGGTCACCATAGGAAGGGGAACAAACTCATCAAGTCTCCACTACCACACAAAGAAGTCAAACGAAATTAGGTTGTAAAGAGCTTAGAACTTGCTCTAGAGTGTGTGGATATGTGCTACACACAACTATCATTACATCATTTTTAATTCATCGTCTCTAGTCTCCACTATTATATCTGCATTGCACTTAGAGTAAACTCTAGACTAAATCCTTCGCAGTTTGGTCAAAAAGTTTAAACTTGAAACGCTTCACATAACTTCTCATGCAGCCAGCTACTTAAAACTACCACACACACACACACACACAAAAAGAAGAAAAAAAAACAAAAAAAAAACCTACCACAGACACAAAGTTCTTGTCCTTTCTATTAAAAACTAGTAAAAATCTGCACTAAAAAGTATTCCTTCTCTTCTCCAACACAGCTTCCCAAAAGCCAGCCATACCAGGAAAAACAGAGATTCTACATTCGTGTCAGTTCTAAGAGCTCCTTGACTGGTTCCCAGACTGCGTACGACAACAGAAAAACTCTGCGAGACAAAAAAAAACCCCAATAGTGGTGCATCAACTGTAAAAAACTTGAGCATAGCTTGTTCTTTTGGTTCTCTACGAGTATCTCAGTAACTCATTTCAAAACGGAATAAGCTACTACTTTGTATACTTTGTATGAGCAGTGTACTTTGCGAAACGAAAAATAAAAATAGTAGTTCAAGGTCAGGATTATATCTACCTGCATACACGAACAAAGAAACAACAGGAGCTCTTTGAACTAAATGTAGGTCACCACGTGGTGGAATCAGGCATCCATCAAAATTTTAGGCAACAGAGAAATGAACACTTTTCAAACCATTGGGGGATCTTAATCCATTTTGGGAAAGGGGGGGGGGAGTTTGCTACTGAAACCTATCTATCAAAGAACACAATTTAGGGTGAATTTAACTTTTACAATGTTGTTTAAAGCCAAAAATATGTCATTTTTTTAGAACGAGTACGAGTATTCAGCTTTAGCAGTCACCAAACTTTGTTAGCCTTTTTCTCGCTGATTTCATTGATAACATCAGGTAGCTCCAGCCTCCTTAACTCACACATATCTCGACCTTTATCAACTTTATGCAAGATAGTACAACATTTTTTCACCTATTTCAGCAAAAATAAACAAGCTGTAATGTGATACCAATATGCCCCCAAAAATTGCAGAGCTCCTGCTTCTACCAAGCTGCGAGCGACACAAATGATCTCTTCAGATCTCGCCCACACGGTGTCTTCTGCCCCGGAGTTCCCCAAACCTTCTCAGACAGCTGTGCCTGGGTCATCACGGCCGTCAGATTTGCCGATGGCATCAAGAGCTTCCATGCTCGGAGTGAGGAAAATGCTTCTGGGTTTTGCCTTTGGTTGTTTCTTTTTCTCCTCGCCGGCCGGAGTTTTTCCTCCGTTGACTTTCGAGTCCTCGTGAGAGGCTTTGGGGGCCAGCGGCTTCCTGCTGCCTGCATCGACCTCTGCGACCACCGAGGGAAAAGGACAAATATAGATAGATAATTAGACAGATGGATATAGAAGGGTAGATGGATGGATAGATGGCTGGATGGGTGGGTGGGTGGATGAATGGGTGGGTGGATGGATGGATGGATGGATGGATAGAGAGATAGCTATACCACAGACACCGGTATGAGCTGGTTACAATGACCTAAACTCAACAAAAACATTGTAAAAACTTGTTTGGGATTGTGATCTTTCTAAAACTTTAAAAAATAAAAAAGGAAAAAGATGGTTCGAAATGAACGGATTGCAAACATCATAAAGCTAGTGGAAATCTCTTTCTACTATAGTCTCACCCAAGTAAGTTTGCTGAGTTTTATGGTATTCCAAACTGCATAAAGCCTCACCAGAGATAGTTTCGTGAGTTTGGTACAAGTTTACGTCGTTCACAACTGCCTAAAGTCTCACCCAACTTAGGTCAGTTCGATAAAAGTTTAAGTTTTACGGTGCCCTCAACTGCCTAAAGTCTCACCCAATTTAGTTCGGCAAGTTTGATAAAAGTTTACGTTTTACGGTGCCATCAACTGCCTAAAGTCTCACCCAATTTAGTTCGGCAAGTTTGATAAAAGTTTACGTTTTACGGTGCCCTCAACTGCCTAAAGTCTCACCCGAAGAGTACGGCCTGATGTTGGAGACCATGTAGGGGTTGGCAGTGTCCACCCTGTCCGTGGGGGGGCCCTTGTAGATCGGGCTGGTGGGCTTTGCCTCTGGGTCCTCTAGCAGCGGGTCCGCGTTGCTGCGGTTCGCCATCGTCACCTTCGCCTCGTGCTCTTTCCTGCAACAAAATTTAGGGAGTTCTAGTAAGGGTTTTGTGGCACTAGCAACAAAAGTATCAGGGCATGGAATTTGGAATTCTGCCGTTGCACGGTTATCGCAGGCCGTCTAATATACAACTGGTTTTTTTTTCATTCAGCACCATCACCGTCACATTTTTCCTCTGGCATGGCATTGAAAGCCAAAGTTCCGACAAAACAAATAATCTTTAGACGTTTCACTTTTGTATGGAATTTCTTGGGGGTAGGGGGAGAGGAGACACGCCATTTCGTATATATATATATATTTTTTATAGTAAGAGGGTTTTACGGCGCTCGCAACTGCATAAGGTCATATGAGCGTCAAGGGGTGGGTGTCAACAGAGAAGTCTTTACAGGGAATCAGACTTACTCTGCTCACCTCTCTAGCCTCAACAACACAAAGCCTGCTTCGACTATCAAGGCACCCTGGAAATAGCAGGTCACAAGAGAGTGACAAACATACAAAAGAAGTAGAAGAAAAATGACAATAGTAAGGATCAGGAAAGAAAAAGCAGCAGTTCCCAGTTGTAGATCAGGCACAGTTATGAGCATGACAAGAATCCGCCCATGTACAATTCTACTATGCTTGAACGAGAAATGTCCCCCCTTTGGGAATGGCCTAAAGACACTTTAGTCAGTGACACTGCCCCGGGGGTACTTACGCCATTTCAAATCAGTGGGTGATTAGAGGATGATTCTTGTAGACCCTACTTCTTTTCTTTCACCCTTTGGTTTTTTTTTGTCTGTACGTCTAGCTTTTTGCCCTGGCACTAAATGACCGTTATTGAGTAGATGTGCTTCACTTTACTCAGCGAATAAAAGAAAAAAATCAACAGAAATCTGTAGAAAAGGGGAAACTAAAAAAAATTCCACTGAACAGTCCGAAATCCGTAAAATGGGTAAAGAACAGAAATCTATCGAGAAATCAGAACTCCGTAAAATGGGAAAAGAACAGAAATCTATCGAGAAATCAGAACTCCGTAGAAATGTGTAAAGAACAGAAATCTATCCAGAAATCAGAACTTCGTTGAAATGGGTAAAGAACAGAAATCTATCGAGAAATCAGAACTCCGTAGAAATGGGAAAAGAACAGAAATTTGGTGAGAAGTCATCAAAGACGTGAGTGAGGGAGACGGTGTACTCACGCGTTGTACGTGTTCCCCTTCCCTCGGCACCTCTTCACCCAGATCATGATGACCACGACCACAACGATGACCACGACAACAGCAACCACCACCGCCACGATGATCATGGTCATATCTGCACGGGACGGAGAGATAAGAAGAAAATATTTCAATCAAACAATTGTTCCCGTGGGTTTCATTCCACAAAAATACAGTCCAGACTGTCCAAGGAAACCACCACCCATTGTTGAGGAGAAAAGTGTTGTTGTTTGTTTTTTTGTTTTTTTTAAAACAGGCCAGACCGAAGGGCTAGAACCCAAATGGCCGCTGGATCGGAAAAGTAAAAGTAAAGTAAAGTTAAAACAGACAGGTAGACATCTCAGAGATTTTAATTTAAAAAAGAAGCCAACCCCCCCCCTCCCCCCCAATTGGGTGACTTTTACGCCCCCATCAACACAAACTACATCATCATTAAGAAGACGGGTTTCAGACCCTGCTTGTCAGAGCCAACCCGGGCTGAGAGGGATATGATAACCCAGCAGAAAGACCAGCCAAAACACTCAATAAATAAACATTTTCTCCCCACTCCAGAATCGAACTGAGGTCTCCTGCGTGTGACAACGAAGTGCTCATCTACTACACCACAGTCGCCGGTTTGTCTACCCGTGTTTCGACAAAAATGTAGACAAATTTCTCCAAGATGGCCACCCCACTGTCAAGGAGAAAAGTGGTAGTCTCAGGCAGGTAGGTAGACGTCCAACACATTGTCATTCATCATCATCTGGTGCCTTGCCGACTGGCGTGGGCGATCATGGACCTCCACTTCACTCTGTCCTGCGCTGCAGCGATTGTGTCTGTTGTTCTTGCTGCTCCCAACCATGTTGTCATCTTGTCCAGTATCTTTTCCCTCTGTCTGCCTCTGCCTCTCTTTTCATCAAACTTGCCTGTTGTTACAATATTCTCCAATGCTTCTTTCCGCATTGTGTGTCCGAAGAAATTTGCCTGTCGTTTTCTTATATTCGTCATAAGCTGTCTTCTATAATTGTCATTACAATATTACAAAAAAACCCAAAAAACACGATAGGAGAGAAGTGGGAGGTGGTCGTTTGTACAGGTGGCTGTCTTGGACGCATGGCCGTCAGAGTCAGAGCAGGTTCCCCTGCGGTTATGCTAAGATATATGTACATGTACATACTTCTCAAAAATTGACTATATAAAGTAGCCAGTAGTGTAAGTTAACGCGAGAACAAAACATTCCAATCAAACTTTGGTCCACACTAGAGCTGGGCAAAGAATCGAACCCGGAACTGGTTCCCATGATTAATGCTACGAAAGAAAAGTTTCGACTCCTTTTTAGGTAAACCAACGGTCACCAGTTATCTTAATTATTAAAATCTTCTCTTTTTTTTTAGAATTTATTTTTGAAAAATAAAAGTTGATGCTTTGTAGTGTTCCAAAATCAAGGCCATCCTAAATCCCGAAGATGTCCGGAGCCAACCATGTAACCATTGGAAGAAATCACATCATTAGAAAGTAGGTAATTGGGTTCGGAGTCGATTCCTACGATCCCTAGCTTGCAAGAATAGGGAATCTTGCCGCCCAGCACTAGTCCACATGTCTTGAAACAAAATGACAGTGACGATACTTGAGGCAACTACTTGTGCCAACGCATTACAAATTGAACTGGCCTTAAATTTTCAGAAAAATCTGACAAGGCATCTCTTTTAGAACAGTACGAGTTTTACAGCACTGGCAACACAATTAGGTCGTGTAAGAGCGAGTAGAAGACTAGAGGTGTTACAAGTGTGTACCTAACAAAGAAAAGAAAGGATGAGAGAAGGCGTCGGTGGTATAGTGGTTAGGCTCTCAGATTCGCAACCATTAGGTCGTGGGTTCGAATCCTGTCAGGGATCCGACGTAGTGTCTTCAGGAAAGGCACTTTACACGAATTATCCTCACTTCACTTAGGTGGAAATGGATACCCAGCTATAGGCGGTGAAAGATCTTGTCAGTTTGTTAGTGTTTGAGCACTTAATCAGCTGCTTGCACTGTATGCTTCCCGGGAAGCTGAGAATGTTCGAGTGTTCCATGGTCTGCTGTGGTAATAATATAGTGTGTAAAGCGGGTAGAACTTGCTGTAGAGCGGGGGTTATGCGCTATACAAATTCTATTTATCATCATTATTATTATTATATGATGACGACAGACGTTTGATATGAAAGAACGATAAAAGCAAACCACAGCACACGACACATATCATCTTCTATTCAAGGCGACACCGTCAAAAAACTCCTGTACCTGGAGATGACGACGAACTGGACAAAGAAATGGACCCCGTCCACATGTCTTTCTCCTCCTCGGGAATACATTTGGCGGCAGGCGATTCCCAGTCCAGCTGACAGGTATACTCCCCGTAATCTAGGAACAGCGGGAAAAAAAACAAAACAAAAAAAAACAGACTCTAAAAACAAGGTGAGAAAAAAGTTTCAGCAGCTCCAACAAATGAATGTGTGGCATTGTGCTGTGGTGAAATCAAACACTTGTCAAAATAACGAAATTTAAAAAAAACATTTTTTTTTTCTCGGAAACTAGGCAAATTTTAGATATTTGTTTGCCTCAACACCTTTCATTTCCATTTTAAAAAAGCGTATTTTTCTGTAAAATCTACAGAAAAATAAGTCTTACAGATTTTACAGAAAAATGTTGATCAAAGGCATTAAAAAATATAAATTAGCAATTTCCAAGGAATTCAAGCTCTGAAAGTTGCCCAACTGTGGTAGTTATTCTCTGGTTAATTTTACCTCTGACGCCAGGCAGCTCTTGCCTCCTTCAAACACAAATATGTCCACCTCTGTTCAAGTTACAGGGACATTTTTTTTCATCAAATGCTAGACAGATGAAAAAGCTTTAAGATGATAGTCTGCTCTAATCAGCATGTAGTAGGGGTCACGTCTGTCGTGATTAGGTTTTTTTTTGGTTTGTTTTAGCAGAGGTTTTACGGCGCTCGCAACTGCATAAGGTCATAATGAGCGCCAGAAGATTAGAGGTGTTACAAGAGAGTAACATACACAAAAAAGAAGGAGGGGAGATAAGGACGATAGATGTTTGATAGGAAAGAAGAAGCAAACCACACCAGAGCACCCGCCAACCACCTGCTGTGATTAGGGTGGGATCTTTGGCATTTTGTCAGGTTACAGCACAGAAGAGGTAACTTTTTTTTATTTTGGTGTAAATACCTTTTCAGATATTTTTCCCCACAAAGTAACTCATTTCTCACAGCAGTTTCTGTGTTTTGATTCGTCACTTTAGTTTAGTTTTAGTAAGAGATTTACGGCACTTGCAACACAAATAGGTCATATAAGTGCCAAAGAACAGATGTGTAACAAGAGAGTAACAAACACAAAAAAGAAGAAGGGGAGATAATGACGACAGATGTTTGATAGGAAAGAAGGAGCAAACCACACCAAAGCACCCGCCAACCACCCACATTCGTCACTTTAGTGATAATTCTGCATTGTACAGCACTGCGGGCCGTCTATAGATTAGGCGCTATATAGAACCCCGGCATTAGTTTATTATCATAACGATTATTTCAGAAGCAGGCAGCTTCGATCCTGCTGGTCAGGGCCTTCATAGAATTAGTAACCGACTAAGCAGTAGCCAGTCGCAAATTCTAAGGGGAAAAAAAAACTTCTCTTCCCGGGAACGGAACTGGTGCCAGAGACAGACCTCGATAGTCCCACTGAAAAGAAGTGAAAGAAGCAGGCAGGACTAGAGCGCCCACAAACCTCCCAAAGGATAGACGTGGAGACAACGGTACCTCACCTTCGTTAACATCTAGCGTCAGCATCAGGTAGCCATCTTGGAATGAGGTCGGCAGCCTGGTCCCATTGGAAGCCTGAAATCACAAACAGGACAGTCACGTTTTGTTTTTCTTTCTTATAGTAGAATTTCTTTCTTTGAAGGGCCTTTTTCTTATATCAGGCTCCGTGTTGTTTACCCTTAGATCTAGCTTACATAGCAATAACAAAAAAAAAGAAGTTGTTTACCCTTAGATCTAGCTTACATAGCAATAACAAAAAAAAAGAAGTTGTTTACCCTTAGATCTAGCTTACATAGCAATAACAAAAAAAAAAGAAGAAGATTTTTGTAAGAATTTCACGGAGTTTCGATCGATATTGGCGCCCAGAGATTGAGGTCAGGTTTGTTTACAAGTTCTACTTCCTTTCGACAACTTAAAAAGTAGGAACTAAGTTAAAAAGTGCACATTTGTTTCAGATTTCATTGAGCCGCTCACAGCGGTCGAATGGAGGCAGCGGAAAAACTCGAAGACACTGTCAGCGGCTGAATGGACGGAATCAGTTAAGTACACTTTGGACAAAATAGTTCTAAGGCGACGACAGAATCTAGTGGATGTCTCAAATCACTGGAAAAGGCACAGATTAAGAGGATGAGTAATAAATCACTGAGAATGACAGCAACCTTCCACACGATGTCCGCCGGGGGCTCGCCTAGCGACTCCACCTGGCCGCACGACAGGACAAACGTCCGCTTGTCTGGGTTCGGACGCCTCGTCACCTCCAGCGTGCTCGACGACAGCCTTGGAGCCTCTGGCAAGGAAACAGGAAATGTATGGGTTTTAGTTTTACGTCGCTATCAACACTAATTAGCCTACAACAAGAGCAATACAACAAGGACAGATCATTACATTGCAAAGTGAGAATGTTGTGGGGGGTGGGGGTGATGGTATGAAGGGTGTGTGTGTGTGTGTGTGTGTGTGTGTGTGTGTGTGTGTGTGTGTGTGTGTGTGTGTGTGTGTGTGTGTGTGTATGTCTAGAGTGTTTGCGTGTAAGTGTGTGTGTGCGTATACATGTGTGTTTGTGAGTGTGATGGCGGAGGGGCTGTTTAAATTTAATGCCCCACAATGAGCAAATCGGTAATTTCAAAGAGAGAACACAAGACTCCAAGGATTGAAATAAAGAATTAGTTTAGTTTTAGTAGAAGGTTTTACGGCGCTCGCAACTGCATAAGGTCATATGAGCGCCAGAAGATTAGAGGTGATACAAGAGAGTAACAAACATAAAAAAGAAGAAGGGGAGATAAGGACGATAGATGTTTGATAGGAAAGAAGAAGCAAACCACACCAGAGCACCCGCCAATCACTCACAAATAAAGCATGAAAAAAAAGCAGACAGGCTTGTCAACTTCTTCAAACCCAAACAGGGACAATCAGCATTATAACATCAGAAGACACAACAAAGTACAAAATTACATCAAGTGGGACTGCCTTATTCGATGCAACGTTTGATGCGGTAAGGCTCTAAAATTATATCTGACTGTTTGAATCTGAGACAGTCCCTGGCAATTTATAAAGGACAGTTGACAAACCTGTGTCTAATAGAGCATACATCAGAGTAAAGAAGGCAGATAATACACATCATAAGGTTAACACACCCAGCCCTAACGCCGATAATATCGGTATGCTCGCCCAGCGCTTCAACCCCAATGCCAACAGTATCAGTGTGAGGAAAATTTTGTTCTCGTGACCGATAACACTACCTTTGTGTGAAGCAGACTATAACCTAATTGGAAGAGTAACCACTTTTCGTTTGAAACAGACTATGACCAGAAGTGCAAGCCCAAATTTAAAACGAAGAAAGTTATATTCGTGAACCAAGTGAGGGGGTGCGAAATTTGAATGCGCTTCCTTTCTTCGCCTTTTTAAAAACTTTTAAACTCTGTGTAAACCTTTTTCCACAGAGTATTGCATAAAAACTGTGACATATTTTGCCTTCTAATTTTCAAAACCCGCAAAATAAAGGTTCGAATAAAATGTGTACCAAATTTTGGTAGGATATGTTAAAATTTAGTAGTTTTTTTTTTAATTTTTCAAAAAGGGGTAAAAATCTCTATGGAAGGCTGACAACCCCAAAGTGTAGACCTAGGGGTTAAGTGAGTTAAAAAGTAAATGTGAGGCATCATGGTGAAATCAGGCGCATAATAAAATAACGAAAGTGAAGCAAGCAGCATTTTTTCATCAGTTCGGCAATTTCGTCACTTCTCTTTTTTTTGGTTTGACACCTTTTGTGTCCATTTGACAACACATTCCTGTGTGGATTTTATTGGAAAAACGTTTATTTAAGGCACAAATGATTTAAATTAAGAGTTTCCAAGGACTTTAAAGTTATGGAAGCTCACATTGCCATAGCTGCCTGTTCGCATGAAACATACTCTTGGACCGGGAAAGGCCAAACCAATTAGATCTATATTCACAATCGTGACCGGCAAAAATGAACTCATAGGATTAGGCTTTCAAATATACGAGAACTTTATGTATTACAGTATTTTCCCAGGTCTTTCCCGGGGCAATTTACAGAGTTCCTCAAATTCCCCGGTCTCTGCGATTTTGTTCAAATTCGCGGGTCTCAGTTATTTTGTTCAAATTCCCGGGTAATTCTCAGGGCCCGGCAGTCCCCTTGAATTATACTCTTCGTCCCACACAGAACTCACGTGCAACGACAATGTTTACTCTCTTGGTCTTCTCCTCGCTAGCAGCCAACACAGCTCTGTACGTCGCTGAGTCAGTCATCTGGACATTTTTGACCTGACAAAGAGAAAAAACACAATGTTGTAGGGCGAAGGAAATGACTCCAACACACAAACTTCATTATAGTAAGACAAAATTGTAAAGAAGGAAGAGAATGAATAAGACAACACACTTATATTACAAAAGTGAGCGATGACTCATTCCCCGGCGATACCAACTTTGCGGTTAGCATGATGTATTTGTGTGTGTGTGTGTGTGTGTGTGTGTAGATATGTGTATGTATGTGTGTGTGTGTGTGTGTAAGCCTGTATGTAAGCTGTCGCTACAGTGTTAATGGACATGCTCGCGACACAAAGCAATGACCAACAACATACTTATCTTTTATTTGGAATAAACAAAAAGAACAGAAAAAATAAAAAAAGTACAGTAAATAAAAGCAGATATCAATGCATGTAATACATGTGACACCGGTGGCCTAGTGGCTAGACTTCCGGACTTGCAACGGTAAGGTCATGGGTTCAAATCCCATCAGAGGTCTGACATCTTGTCCTTGGGAAAGGCGCTGAACTTGAGTTTTCTTCACTTCAGCCAGGTGGGAACGGGTACCCGGCTAAAAAAGCGAAAGGCTCTGTCTATCAGTTTGTTAGTATTTGGGTGCTGGTGCTTAATCAGCTGCTCGCACTGGATGCTTCCAAAGAAGCTGGAAGCTGAGAATGTTTCTGAGTGTTCTAGGGTCTGCCTGAGTAGTTTTTCAACCTGATGTTGTTTTAAGCATTGAAACTGCTGTTTCTTTTTTCTTCTTTCTCGACGGGAAGGAGGAAACTGGACAAAGTAGAGGGTTGCTGAATCTGATGAAAGCACAGAGTGGCTTCAGGTCACTGAGGCATTACGTGACCCATGCAGGCCACCCTGTATTGCACCTAAACATTGCTGGCTAAAAGGGCTCTGGTGAAACGGTGACTGGCCCAGCAAGCTGACGGCGCAGATAAATCTGGTAACAAAAAAAAAGCAACAGAGAAAATCTGCCTGGGTAATACAGACACATTTTTCGGCAATTCTTTTCACAAGGGCAGCTGTCTGAAAATGGACAGCAACTTAAACGACGTGTGGATGTATATTTACTTGCTTGTGTTCTCCACAACAGGAGCACCGCAATTTGTTTTTTCGTCTGGCCAATAGTAGGATGGTTTAGGAAATGTAACTTCTGCTTGTGCAGTTAATTATTATAAATAAAGGGAAAGATATTCTGGCTTTGTTTCAACCTCTCTTGAATAATCATTTCATCTTGCCTGCACAAACGTAGATAGACACGTTTCAGCAATGATGGGGTTAAGAGGAATTTCATTTATTCATTATTTAAATTTAAAAGTTCCACAAGAATGAGGAACCCCTGTGAAACATCGGGTCAATGGATACCAACCTGCAATCCCCAGAATTTGTACTTCTCCACGCGCGTCTCGAAGGAGTCCCAGCTCCCACCGATGTAGTCCAACAAGGAGATTTTTTTGTCTTCATCTTTGTCCATGAACCAGCTGAAGGCGACAAAGTCTGGGCTCTCCGCCAGGGATGGAGGGAATGGATCATTGATCAGGATGGGCTCCTGGCTGTTCACGCAGTGGGTGTACACTGTGGGGTCGTCTTCTTTTGGAGTTATCACAATACCTACATGTTTAGAAGGAGAGACACGATAAAACTTTCCGCCACCACACTGTCTACAAATTTCTAAAAATAGAAGAAGACTATGTTTGGTACAATTAGTTTTTAAAACACCAACGGGATTGATGCACTGAAAAAAACAAAACAATGAAAAATTTATTCAAATAGACGTAGCTTGTCATCTAAGATAGGCCAGAAAAGATTTTTCAAACCTGTCCAATTGTTTCTGGCCAGATTTAATCAGTAACGACTGACTTAAAACTACTGGTACGCTATTACACTGCCTTTCATGACTACAAAGGGATCAAAACATAAAATTCATAATCAGTCCTTATAAGACACCCCCCCCCTTCCCTTTCTCTCTCTCTCTCTTTTACTTTCTCTCTTTCTCTTACTTTTTCTCTCTCCATCTTACTTCCCCAGGCCCACGGGTGGCACTGATCGTGGTGTGAGATGCAAGACGCGAAGTCTATGACGTCACCTACAGGTGTCACGCCCAGTACAGGTACTGCGCAGGTACTGGGGCTTCTTGGCACCCAGTACCGAAAAAGTGTCGACATTAACTGCCGGTGCCGCCCAACACTACCTCTCATAATCTGATAAGATATATTACATGAGTAGTTACGCCCATTCGCATACACACCTTTCTAGACGCTCTAGTTGTAAAAAAATGAATGTCTTGGGGTTCGAAAGAGGATGATATATTATGTGTATAGGTCAATTTCCGAATGTTATACACTCAAATTGCTCTTTGTACCTGCACAATGGTATTCAAAATTATCAAATAAACTTATTTTTTATCAGGTAGTATCATTTCATACAAAATCAAACTCATTTGAAAGATTTTGTATAGACATAGATAGACAATAATGGAAGTCTTGTTTCCTGACTATATATCCTTTCGAGCTCCTCATGCCTAAGTGGGTTAATAATTTCTAAAATTTCATTAGACGAAAATCAAGAGCTACCAACTTGGCATGTTTTGAACGAGACGTATGCCTCAGTCGGCTCAGTTACGAACCAACGCAGGCGGTTCTAGTCTAGAAAAAGGCCACAAACGCACACAAACTCAAGCAGATTGACGCACACACACTTGAGCTGCGGATCCGACATGGGACCCAAATTGAAGGGGAGACGATGCTCTAGCCATGGGCTAGACTGACGCCGGACCAGAACGCAGGCGAGGTGCTGAAATAGGCTTTTAATCGGGCAACATATAAACCCGGCCCCCGCAGGACAAGGGCTAAGTACGGCTAGTCGGCTAGGCTAGCCGTACTTAAAGGACAGCTAGACTGACAGGCACGGCTAGCCACTTCGATAAACTATCTTGGCCTAGATCTAACATCATTGTGTATAGATCTAGGCGGATCTATAATCTATGAAATCTCAAGCAACAACAACGGCGGAATACGACATACGTGAAGAAGCGGAGTCAGACAGAATCATCGCTTCGCGTAAAGTAAGTAACATTGGCAGTTCAAACTAGCGATGCTTGGATCTACCCTTACCGTGCACACACAAACAAATCAGACTGAAGAGGAGAAGTGAGGTAACTCGATACATTTTGATGATTTTGTGTTCCATGTCAATAGCTATACGAATAAAATCATCGAGCCTAGAGACTGGAAAGGAGGAAGGACGAAAGCTTTTGAACACCGGAAGTGAGACGGAAGTTTCAGCTTGAGATTTTCCAGTTTTGTTCCCTATCTCTTTGGTTCTTTCGGTTTCTGTGTTTACAATCGGACTTGTAAAAAGTTGCACCCCCAAATAAAGATATCAACGATTTAATATTATAATACAATAACCATTGTCTTAAAAAAACATATATTCAAGGATACATTAATAAAAAAAAAAGAAGTATATATTCAATTCAATATAGTTCTTTCAGAAGTTTAATAGAAAAGGCAAGGCTCAGTCAAAACGGATGGTAAAACAACGGGTTGTTTTTTTAGAAGGGAGAAGCCGTCACAAGAGAAAAGTAGCTTCCTAAAGATGTACACCCTTATAATTAATATAATATAGGCCTATTTTTTTGTAGAGTTTTTACGGCGCTCGCAACTGCATAAGGTCATATGAGCGCCAAGTGGTGGGTGTCAACAGAGAAGTCCATACGGGGAATCAGGTTGCTGAATCCACCTTCTTGCCTAGCTTCAACCGCACAAAGTCTGCTTCGACTATCAAGGCACCTCGGAAATAACGGGTCACAAGAGAGCGACAAACATACAAAAGAAGTAGATACTGTAGAGGGGAAATGACGAACGGATTAGGAATAAAAAGCAGCAGTTCCCTTTTTGCAGTTCAGGCACACTTATAGAGCTTGCCGTTGATCAATGAGCCCATTTGCAATTCTGTTGTGCATAAGAACATGTTAAATGTCCCCCCCCCCCCCCCCCCCATTTGGGAATGGCCTAAAAACACTTCAGTGTAGCACCGCCTTTCTAGGCCTAGAAAATGTTTGATGAAGCAACAGCAAGGGGCATCTAAGGATTCTGGGGAGCTCTGACAGACAATCGTCACTATTAAAATAGAAGGAAAACCATTGTAGGTCTTGATGCACCAATGGCGGATTATGACACGGTAATGAAAAATCCTATAGGCCCCTATACGGTCTAGATCGGGGCAATAAAACAATATTATAGTCTCGGCCCAGGATATTATAAGAACGGACAGATATAGAAAGTCAAGCGAACCAACTGCAGTGAGGTTATTTAACACATAGTGCCACGAATAAAACAGAGAGCGAGAACGAGAGCGAGAGAAATAGCCAGAGAGAGAGACAGAGAGAGAGACAGAGAGAGAGAGAGAGAGAGAGAGACAGAGAGAGAGACAGAGAGAGAGACAGAGAGAGAGACAGAGAGAGAGACACACAGAGAGAGAGAGAGAGAGAGAGAGAGAGAGAGAGAGAGAGAGAGAGAGAGAAAATTTGTAATGTTTTACGGAGCGGCTTAAAATTGTTTCAGCTCGTAAAACATGTACATATACTAATGTCCTGTCTTGTTGTACGTGTGTGTGAGTGCACCTAAGCTTTGTAACATTAACTGCCATTATGAACGAACAAGATAAATGTTATTTATTATTATTATTATTATTATTATTATTATTATTATTATTATTATTATTATCATTATCATTATCATTATATTTATTATTATTATTATTATTATTATTATTATTATTATTATTATTATTATTATTATTATTATTATTATTATTATATATTATATATTAGTAAGACAATATCATTTCTCCCTGTGAGATGAATAAAGATTGTCAAGGCCATTGTCATAAAGAGGAGGTATGTTGGAAATAGACGGATATATAGATAGAACGACGGAAGGTATTTAATTTGTGGGTCACGGGAAACAGAACGCAGCAACATGTTTTATAGAACGCTGTACCGATCATTTTATTCTTCCAAATAGGCCCAGCCTGCTTGGTATGAGCAGATTCATACAAGAGGAAGAGGCACAAGACCTGGAGACAGAATTACAACCAATATGATAGTTCATAAGTTTGTGCAGAAACGTTTCAGAAATGCCATTAGGATCATCAAAGCCATTAATGCCATAAAATCATTAATTCCATGTCATAAAATCATCAGAGCATTTGCCATACAATCAACATAGACATTGACATATATAATCTCCAAAGTCATTGCTATGAAATCATTTTTAGAAAATTGCCTTAAAATCATCAAAATCATTGCCATCAAAGTCATTGCCATAAAATTTGCCATAAAATCATCAAAGTCAGTGCCATAAAATTTGCCATAAAATCATCAAAGTCAGTGCCATCAAAGCCATTGCCATAAAATCATCAAAGAAATTGCCATAAAATCATCAAAGTCATTGCCATAAAATCATCACAGCCATTGCCAGGAGCAATCACTACTAGTAGAGAATCTTTGACAAAACTGCCACAAACTCTAGTGGTACAAAATAAAACCTCTTTGGTGTAGGCCTACATTACGTAAGCTTACATATATGTGCATGTTACTTCCATAGTATAGAGCCGGGCTGCACGCAGCCAGCAGGCCTTGAGTCGGACACTTCACTAACTCAGAATTACAAAGTTCTGTCTGCTCTGTATCCATAGAGTTATCTCCTTTTATACATATATGTGCCTATAGTGTACATTATCTATGCCTGTATCTAGTTTTGAGAAATTTGACGTACAAATTTTAGAGTTTCCCTGTGTCAAGTTTTGTCGAATGCAGCTCTTTGAATATAATATCTTGACAACGAATAAGAACGATAATATAACGATAATAACAACACTACAACAACAACAACAACAACAACAACAACAACAACTACTACTACTACTACTACTACTACTACTACTACTACTACTACTACTACTAC